AAAGGTCAGTGTAATTTACAGGAAGGGGAGAAAAGGCTAGTCTTAATCACAGATCCTTTGACCTCAATCCCCTCAGGAGTCTGGGCTTGTTCCCCCCTCTCTCCATCTCCCTCCATCCCTCCATCCCTCCATCTCTGCCACTCCTGCATCCTCTGTGTCAACACATGCACGTACGCACACACACACACACACAATTCAACCCTGACTTCTGTGCTCCAGAGCAAGATCCTAAACCTGCTGGTATTAAACTGCACTGTCATTACCATCAACTCTAAAGACGTGTGGTAATCCACTCACTTATAATATAGCGCTGATACCTTGTGTGCATGGTCTAACATCCCCACCTGCTGGCTTCTACAGGTAGGAACCAAGAGTGTCCTGAACACAGATAACCTGCTCTCGGCTGAAGGAGAAGTACCATCGAAGGAATTACCAACAGTTTCCCTTATATCTGTTTTGACTGAGCGGAGATAGAGTTAGTAGTACTCATTCTCAGTATCCAGTGTTTACAGATCTGAGCAGATGATGAGGAGAGGAAGTTGTATTGAGAGCCCCAATGGTGATGCACTCAATGGAAGTGTCACAGTGGGGGAAAAAACACTTAGAAATGGATGAGTCAGGGTATTTCAATTAGCTATAGCGTTGCCAAGCTTGGAAAACACTGGATTAAAGACAGTGGTTCAATAAATTGATGTTAGATTCACAGCAACTCTTGGAGCTTGGTCTATGAAGGGGCACAGAGGAAGTGAGGGACAATGTCAGAGAGTGAAACAAATGTTTTCCACCCAGAGGTGTGTAGCCCTACATACATAACAATGTTGATTATAAGTAAGTAGCCTTGTGCATCACCATCGGGGCTCTCAATAGTCTCAATACAACTTCCTCTCCTCATCATCTGCTCAGATCTGTAAACACTGGATACTGAGAATGAATACTACCAACTCTATCTCCGCTCAGTCAAAACAGATATATGGGAAACTGTTGGTAATTCCTAGTAGTCTTGTGCAAGCCAGAACATCCCTTCTACTGTGCTGTAAACCAGAGGACGGGCAGAGCATAGATGGACTAATTGCTTACATGGCAATTTGTTCTGAGGGGGAATTCACTCCGACACCGTGGCAGACTGGGGCTGCTAATTACAGCCTTGGGTTGGCCAACGCAGCTGCTCCACACACAGCAATAGCACAAGTCTGCATGGGGAAGAGAAACACTGCACCGTCACACACACATGCATGAAAGCCTACACAGACACACACTTTCACATGCATGCAGGTACACACACTAACTTGCAGATATGACACACACCCACACACACTCACAGGACTCACGTTGCAATTGAAATACACGCCACTCAAAACCGCCCATGCCACTGTCAAAACCGCCCATGCCACTGTCAAAACCGCCCATGCCACCGTCAAAACCGCCCATGCCACCGCTCACTCCCACCACTTCCTGCTCTTGGAGATTGGTCCTGTGGAGGTCGTGGGCAGCAACTACTAGTTTCTGCATCAACTTTCTGATTGCTCTCAGCGGTGAAAGCCACCTGATAGTGTTCCTGCATCAGTAGCAAACAAGACCCTAGTTAGTGCCTTTTGATGAGTTTCAGATGACTTAAGCTGCACTGTGAAAAATAAAGAGTTCATTTTATGTTTAATGCACACGTGCTAAAGTAACCTGCAATTGCTTGATAGAGCACTGTGAGTTATAAAATCTGGTCTAATATGAATAACAATGCCTCCAAACAGGGCAATAAGATATCCTTAATTTTTGGCCGGTGCAAATAGTAGGCCTACATTAATTCAGCCTGGCCTCAAAGATTAGACGTAAAATAGTAAACGTAAGTCTTTGACACTCAAATTAGTATGATATGTTATGTTTGGTATGGTTACATAAGACAGAAGGTTACTTAAGCCAAAAACGAAAGGAGGGAGGTTGGTCGGGGAGGCATATAATGCGAACGTTTAGCAACCCAAAGGTTGCGTGCACATCACGGGCAACTTTAGCTAATTAGCAACTTTGCAACTACTTACTACTTTTTTGCTACTTTACAACTACTTAGCATGTTAGCTAACCCTTCCCCTAACCCCTAACCCTAACCTTAAGCCTTAACCCTAGACTTAACCCTAACCTTAACCCATAACCTTAGCCCCTAACCTAGCTAATGTTAGCCACCTAGCTAACGTTAGCCACAACAAATTGTAATTAATAACATATCATACAAATGGATGAAGGACATCCACAAATTAGTACATACCATATGAAACGTAACATTTCATACTAAATGGAGGGAGACAAGAGTTACACTTAATATGTTATGTCTATCCCTGAGTCCAGCTTGGAATTAAATATACCCTTTTCCACTCCATAGTTCTTGTAGCCATGCTGGAAAGGACAATGTGAAAGGAAAACAACCGAACCAGCACGGTACGGTTTGGATCTGACCTTTATTGTGTGTATCAAGTATTTCTCTCAGTAGCATATTCACTATGATAAAACATTCAATTCAAATTTTAAACACCTGTAGCCAATACCTTTGAAAATATTATGATATCTCCCAAAGGCCATGTGAGCGTATGAACTCTCATGTAATTTACAATGTAATGACCTGGATTACACAATACATTTGGTTACATTTGATCCAGTTGCATTCAACTTCCTTTATGGCGTCTGCGTTAGTAAGGTTAAGAGGATGTAGGTGATAAAAAGATAAACAGTCCTAGATGACATCCTAGATTCAACTCTCTCCATATAGATTTCCCATGCAAATTGATCGGTCTGTGTTAAACACACAGTTCCTGAATCACTCTAAATGGGAAAGCCTCTCTTTGCCTTCAGGCTCATTTACCTTGGGAGGTGAAAATGACAGCATTCTCCATTCAGAGTAGGATTACAATCACAGTAAGAGCACCGATTTGCAGTGTGAATGGTTCTCTGGTGAGGAAAATCTACTTTAAATAGGTCCCATCTTCCAATGGAGAACCTCTCTGCTCTCCATATTTATTAGCTGTTGGGAGATGTTGATCCTAATGAACAGTTGATTATTAATAAAACCATGGTTACATTGGAAAAGTAACAACGTATTTCTACATAATATATCATCACATGGTCCCCAGTGCCACCCTTGCTCCTGACCTTCCCTGGCTGGTGATCCCTGACAAACAGGGTGGCACAGTGGGACTCTAACTAGTTAAGCAGTGCCAGCTGAGCTCAGACTGGATTACTGTCGCCCCAACCTACTGTAAAGTGGCATCAAATCATTAAAGCTAGACGACTGACAAATCTAGCATCTCAATAGTTGAAAATGGCCACCTATCTATCCCCTGTATCCTTTCATTCACCTGTAGTAATCTGACAAGACTGGAGAGGTCCAACCAAATTCCTGGTAGGCATCAAGCATGGGAGTTTCAAGGAGAGAACACAAGCAGATGAAACTGCTTTATAATATTGAGATGCAGCTCTGGTCTGCCAGACAGTGTGTGTAGAGTAGACAGAGTGTGTGTTTATGTGTTCTCATTTGTCAATTACACTGCATTAGGCCTAATAGTTCTCATCCTGATTCCAATATGCTATGGTTGATAATAGATCGCTGAGTAGGATCCTGTGTGTGTGTGTGTGTGTTTTTGTGTGTAAGGTGGATGATGATGAGAGAGTGATGGGGGATAGGCTTTAGTGATGTGATACTACTGTATATCTGATATCCGCCTGGGCCATTTGGTGGGTGGGAGTGGTTGAGTGGTAATGTCCTGAAGTCAGCTATGAGGTAATACAAACAATAAAGCGACCAATAGTGCTTCTCTGTAACAAGCTGATCCATTACACTGGTGATCCATGTGCCCTTCTTTTCCTGTGGTCCAATTGAAATGTCCCAATACAATTAGTAGCGACAGGAAATGCATGATTCCGCCTGGGTCTCTATTAACAATTAGTACCCATAAAAAGCCTGATAAACTGATTGAGTTAGACGGAGGGGTCCCTCATAGGACACGACAAGCTAATCATTCGAAGTGATGGGCCAATATGGCTACTCAGATAAAACAAAACATAACATTAGCAGAACATATTTAATGAAATACCTGTGAAGAAGAGCAATATTGTTGGGCATGATAAGAGTAAACTTTCTGGATATTAATACAATGACAGTAGATGTGTGAGTTTAATATTGTTAATACTGAGTATTAATCTGCCATTGAAAAACAAATGGAAGTTTGCTGAGGAAATATGGCAACACATCAATTGAAACAAGTAACTTTGAACATTCAATGGTGTCAGTAAAATATACTGAACAAAAATATAAACGCAACATGTTAGTCCCATGTTTCATGAGCTGAAATAAAATATCCCAGAAATGTTTCATAAACACAAAATGTTTATTTCGCTCTGATTTTGTGCACAAATTTGTTTACATCCCTGTTAGTGAGCACTTCTCCTTTGCCAAGATAATCCATCCACCTGACAGGTGTGGCATATCAAGAAGCTGATTAAACAGCATGATCATTACACAGGTGCACCTTGTGCTGGGGTCAATGAATTTATTTCAATTGACTGATTTCCTTATAATGAACTGTAACTCAGTAAAAACGTTGAAATTGTTGCATGTTGTGTTAATATTTTTGTTCAGTGTAAATAAAATAAAAATCCCCGTTTTGAAAACATTTTTTGTAATTCTGGCATGGGAAATACACTTTCCAATGGGAAAAATAAAAAAGCGTTATGAAATATACAGAAAAATCTATTCAATCAACAATCTAACAAACTATGTAACCCATAGCAAAACAGCCACTCGACCAGTCGCTCGCTCAATAGAGCCATAATGCACATTCCATCCAGGGTTGTGTTCATTAGGCACCAAACCAATGAAAACGTGAGGGACTATGTGGACTTGTCCAATTTGAAACCCTCATTTTTGTTTTCGCTACAAAACCTTTTCTCTTCGTGCCCTAAGGAAGATGAGCCAGGTTATGCTCTTTGTTTTCCAGCTCCTTCTTCTTCTCTTGGTACAGTTTGAGTAGGTAGTCGTCCGGGGCAATGCCCTGCTCTTTCAGCTCCGCCATGCTCTTCTCCAGCTTCACCGTGGTGCGGGCACTGCCCACCTTCCTGCCTGTGAGGTACAGGGTGAAATCCTTAAAGTCCATCAGGTGGCAGGAATCCCTGTCACACAGGTTGGGGAGGCCCGGAGTTGTCCGCTCCACTTTGGGGAAGAAGGTCAGGCCCGACATCTTCTCTAGTTCCGATAGACTCACCTGGAAGTCCATCAGCGGGCGCTTGAAGCCGATTGGCTGGTTGGGTATGACAAAGGCCCCGAGGGCCAAGGTTTCTGATAATGATTGTTTGTTAGCCAAGTTGCCAGATGCCGATTGGTCCTTCCCGACGAGGATGACTTTGAAGAGGTGGGTGGGGACGGCCACGTCGTCTTTGCCTATAACCTGCACAAATAACAACACATTACGTTAAATCATGTTAAAACACATTTTTTTGCGTTTTGCATATTTTGGTCTACCTGAGCCTCGATAGATTGTGGACTAGGCTGTTCCGAGATAAGACAATCCGTTAGTTTATGGATGCCTCGTAAAGGAACAGATGCACGTATGCCTTCAGCACCCTGAGATCTCAAGGACAGGTGCACGCTGATTTATGGTAACGGTTGTTTGTTCTAGATTAAAGTAGCCTCTAATGGCCACATCAAATAATCCAAAACCAAAGACCAGGAGCCAGGCAGATCCGCTTCAGAAGACATCCGCATACCTGCAGCTGTTGTTTTGACGGCATCGGAGGTGGAACTGCATTAGAGCTGTCAAATCCACAAGCGGCACCTAAACAGGACATGCTGCATGGAGTCGCATTAAGAGAAATCCCATGCAGCTTTGTGTACAAGTTTGAACACTGGTATGTGAGATGTAATCTACACCTCGATTAGTCTGATAGAAACCCTCATTATTTTGTTTGATGATGTTCAATTTGACCATCATTATTTCTATGTACAGTGCCTTGCAAAAGTACTCATCCCCCTTGGCGTTTTTCCTATTTTGTAGCATTACAACCTGTAATTTAAATTGACTTTTATTTGGATTTCATGTAATGGACATACACAAAATAGTCCAAATTGGTGAAGTGAAATGAAAAAAATAACTTGTTTCAAAAAATTATAAAAAATAAATGACGGAAAAGTGGTGCGTGCATATGTATTCACCGCCTTTGCTATGAAGCCCCTAAATAAGATCTGGTGGAACCAATTACCTTCAGAAGTCACATAATTAGTTAAATGAAGTCCACCTGTGTATAATCTAAGTGTCACATGATCTGTCACATGATCTCAGTATATATACACACCTGTTCTGAAAGGCCCCAGAGTCCGCAACACCACTAAGCAAGGGGCACCACCAAGCAAGCGGCACCATGAAGACCAAGGAGCTCTCCAAACAGGTCAGGGACAAAGTTGTGGAGAATTACAGATCAGGGTTGGGTTATAAAGAAATATCAGAAACTTTGAATAATAAAAAAATAAGGAAACACGTTTGCCGTTCGCCAAAAGGCATGTGGGAGACTCCCCAAACATATGGAAGAAGGTACTCTGTTCAGATGAGACTAAAATTGAGCTTTTTGGCCATCAAGGAAAACGCTATGTCTGGTGCAAACCCAACAACTCTCATCACCCCGAGAACACCATCCCCACAGTGAAGCATGGTGGTGGCAGCATCATGCTGTGGGGATGTTTTTCATCGGCAGGGACTGGGAAACTGGTCAGAAATGAAGGAATGATGGATGGCGCTAAATACAGGGAAATTCTTGAGGGAAACCTGTTTCAGTCTTCCAGAGATTTGAGACTGGGACGGAGGTTCACCTTCCAGCAGGACAATGACCCTAAGCATACTGCTAAAGCAACACTTGAGTGGTTTAAGGGGAAACATTTAAATGTCTTGGAATGTCCTAGTCAAAGCCCAGACCTCAATCCAATTGAGAATCTGTGTTATGACTTAAAGATTGCTGTACACCAGCGGAACCCATCCAACTTGAAGGAGCTGGAGCAGTTTTGCTTTGAAGAATGGGCAAAAATCCCAGTGGCTAGATGTGCCAAGCTTATAGAGACATACCCCAAGAGACTTGCAGCTGTAATTGCTGCAAAAGGTGGCTCTACAAAGTATTGACTTTGTGAATAGTTATGCACGCTCAAGTTTTCAGTTTTTTTGTCTTATTTCTTGTTTGTTTCACAATAAAAAATATGCTGCATCTTCAAAGTGGTAGGTATGTTGTGTAAATCTTAATGATACAAACCCCCAAAAAATCAATTTTAATTCCAGGTTGTAAGGCAACAAAATAGGAAAAATGCCAAGTGGGGGTAAATACTTTCACAAGCCACTGTAGCCTCAATTTTGTCATTCTGAACTTCTAACGCTTCATGACAATGATCACAAAAGCAGCTGCTCACCGATTTGACAGCTCCAACGCAGTTCCACCTCTGACACTGCCAAAACATCAGCTATGCGCTCTCAGCTATTGCTGGTTAACGCTTGATCTGATTGAATCTCGGCCTTAGTAGGATTGTTTTTTATTTATTATATTTGTAATTAATTATTTAAATAACCGTTAGGGTTAGGACACTCTCATAAGCCCTCTAGGGTTTCTTTTTTCATCCTGCACAATTCAGTTTCACTTCACTGCTCATGTTTGTCTGTTTTTGTTCCGCCTCTGTTTTTAGGTGGGAAAAAATTTCTAGGCCATTGAGCTTAAAGTCTATACTGTAAAACAAGCTGGTATCGAGGAAACACATACAGTAATGTACACATTGAACGACTTGTTGTGAGATGGAATACGATAGTCTTGATGTGCTGACGGTGACAGGTGTATGGGTTCCTTCCCTTGAAGAGTGACCTCACCCACTCTGCAATAACAACACAGAGGTTTGTTAGAGGGGCAATAACCATTCAGTTAATGGGAGAATCATTCACCACACCTGCCAAGTGCATGAGGCTCCAACTAAGGCCTTGACAAATCAGGGAGACCTTTAAATCGGTTACATTACTCTAACTAACGGGAGTAGAGACTGTACACTATGATTACATTTCCCTTCGTAAGGTCATAAAGGAAAATTGGGGTTGTGAAGGAAAGTACCAAAAATAAAACACATGCATAGGCTTAGACATAGTATCGTTTGTAAGACATGTCAGCAACATAGCCAACTGGACAGGGACGAGCAATGTTGGACATTTCTCACTGATAACCAGGGTGACAAACCAGGTGGAAGAAATATAGCTCTGGTTTAAACAATATTGTCAAAAAAATATATATATATATACAGTGGGGGGGAAAAGTATTTAGTCAGCCACCAATTGTGCAAGTTCTCCCACTTGAGAGAGATGAGAGAGGCCTGTAATTTTCATCATAGGTACACGTCAACTATGACAGACAAATTGAGGAAAAAAAATCAAGAAAATCACATTGTAGGATTTTTAATGAATTTATTTGCAAATTATGGTGGAAAATAAGTATTTGGTCAATAACAAAAGTTTCTCAATACTTTGTTATATACCCTTTGTTGGCAATGACACAGGTCAAACGTTTTCTGTAAGTCTTCACAAGGTTTTCACACACTGTTGCTGGTATTTTGGCCCATTCCTCCATGCAGATCTCCTCTAGAGCAGTGATGTTTTGGGGCTGTCGCTGGGCAACACGGACTTTCAACTCCCTCCAAAGATTTTCTATGGGGTTGAGATCTGGAGACTGGCTAGGCCACTCCAGGACCTTGAAATGCTTCTTACGAAGCCACTCCTTCGTTGCCCGGGCGGTGTGTTTGGGATCATTGTCATGCTGAAAGACCCAGCCACAGTTCATCTTCAATGCCCTTGCTGATGGAAGGAGGTTTTCACTCAAAATCTCACGATACATGGCCCCATTCATTCTTTCCTTTACACGGATCAGTCTTCCTGGTCCCTTTGCAGAAAAACAGCCCCAAAGCATGATGTTTCCACCCCCATGCTTCACAGTAGGTATGGTGTTCTTTGGATGCAACTCAGCATTCTTTGTCCTCCAAACCCGACGAGTTGAGTTTTTACAAAAAAGTTCTATTTTGGTTTCATCTGACCATATGACATTCTCCCAATCCTCTTCTGGATCATCCAAATGCACTCTAGCAAACTTCAGACGGGCCTGGACATGTACTGGCTTAAGCAGGGGGACACGTCTGGCACTGCAGGATTTGAGTCCCTGGCGGCGTAGTGTGTTACTGATGGTAGGCTTTGTTACTTTGGTCCCAGCTCTCTGCAGGTCATTCACTAGGTCCCCCGTGTGGTTCTGGGATTTTTGCTCACCGTTCTTGTGATCATTTTGACCCCACGGGGTGAGATCTTGCGTGGAGCCCCAGATCGAGGGAGATTATCAGTGGTCTTGTATGTCTTCCATTTCCTAATAATTGCTCCCACAGTTGATTTCTTCAAACCAAGCTGCTTACCTATTGCAGATTCAGTCTTCCCAGCCTGGTGCAGGTCTACAATTTTGTTTCTGGTGTCCTTTGACAGCTCTTTGGTCCTGGCCATAGTGGAGTTTGGAGTGTGACTGTTTGAGGTTGTGGACAGGTGTCTTTTATACTGATAACAAGTTCAAACAGGTGCCATTAATACAGGTAACGAGTGGAGGACAGAGGAGCCTCTTAAAGAAGAAGTTACAGGTCTGTGAGAGACAGAAATCTTGCTTGTTTGTAGGTGACCAAATACTTATTTTCCACCATAATTTGCAAATAAATTCATTAAAAATCCTACAATGTGATTTTCTCATCTTTTTAAGTGGGAGAACTTGCACAATTGGTGGCTGACTAAATACTTTTTTCCCCCACTGTATATATATATATATATATATAGTCACATTACCAGTCAAAAGTTTGGAAACACCTACTCATTCAAGGGTTTTTCTTGATTTTTACTATTTTCCACATTCTAGAATAATAGCGACGACTTCAAAACTATGAAATAACACAAATGGAATCATGTAGTAACCAAAAAAGTGTTAAACAAATCATAATATATTTTATATTTGAGAATCTTCAAAGCAGCCACACTTTGCCTTAACGACAGCTTTGCACACTCTTGGCATTCTCTCAACCAGCTTCACCTGGACTGCTTTTCCAACAGTCTTGAAGGAGTTCCCACATATGCTGAGCACTTGTTGGCTGCTTTTCCTTCACTCTGCAGTCCAACTCATCCCAAAACATCTCAACTGGGTTGAGGTCGGGGGATTGTGGAGGCCAGGTCATCTGATGCAGCACTCCATCACTCTCCTTGGTAAAATAGCCCTTACACAGCCTGGAGGTGTGTTTGGTCATTGTCCTGTTGAAAAACAAATGATAGTCCCACTAAGTGCAAACCAGATGGGATGGAGTATCGCTGGAGAATGCTGTGGTAGCCATGCTGGTTAAGTGTGCCTTGAATTCTAAATAAATCACAGACAGTGTCACCAGCAAAGCAACCCCACACCTCCTCCTCCATGCTTCACGGTGGGAACCACACATGCAGAGATAATCCGTTCACCTACTCTGCATCTCACAAAGACACGGCGGTTGGAACCAAAAATCTCAAATTTGGACTCATCAGACCAAAGGACAGATTTCCACCGGTCTAATGTCCATTGCTCGTGTTTCTTGGCCCAAGCAAGTCTCTTCTTTTTATTGGTGTCCTTTAGTAGTGGTTTCTTTGCAGCAATTCGACCACGAAGGCCTGATTCACACAGTCTCCTCTGAACAGCTGATTATGAGATGTGTCTGTTACTTGAACTCTGTGAAGCATTTATTTGGGCTGCAATTTCTGAGGTTGGTAACTCTACCGAACTTATCCTCTGCAGCAGAGGTAACTCTGGGTCCACCTTTCCTGTGGCGGTCCTCATGAGAGCCAGTTTCATCATAGCTCTTGATGGTTTTTGCGACTGCACTCTTGAAATTTTCCGGATTGACTGACCTTCATGTCTTAAAGTAATGATGGACTGTTGTTTCTCTTTGCTTATTTGAGCTGTTCTTGCCATAATATGGACTTGGTCTTTTACCAAATAGGGCTATCTTCTGTATACCCCCCCCCCTACCTTGTCACAATACAACTGATTGGCTCAAACACATTAAGATGGAAATAAATCCACAAATTAACTTTTAACAAGGCACACCTGTTAATTTAAATGCATTCCAGGTGACTACCTCATGAAGCTGGTTGAGAGAATGCCAAGAGTGTGCAAAGCTGTCATCAAGGCAAAGGGTGGCTACTTTGAAGAATCTCAAATATAAAATATATTTAGTTACTACATTTGGTTACTACATGATTCCATATGTGTTATTTCATAGTTTTGATGTCTTCACTATTATTCTACAATGTAAAAAATAAAGAATGTGTAGGTGTGTCCAAACTTTTGACTGGTAGTGTATATATCTTCCCATAAGGACACAAGGTAGGCCTACTACACAGAGCTTTCACTCTTCTCTACTCTCTCTCTCTCCACTCCATCCCTTCCTCTCACTCTCTTTCTCTCTCTTCTTCCTCTCTAGGTGGGAGTCCTGTTCCTGCTGATGGGGGGGACAGTGTGTTGGCCCCTGATAAACCACAGGGAGACCCCACTCCAAGGGAGATCATCTGGGATGAAGACACTGCACTCCAGGCCTCTCCACTGCGGATGTTAGAGGCTGGCAGTACCAACCTAAGGCGGGCATCCCCGAGAGTCCCCTCTAAACCTCTCAATCCCTCACAGGAAACAATCACTGCCTGGCAATACCCAGGGGGCACTGCCATGGCAACTGGAGAGGTAGCAAAAGGAAATAATAAACTGTGGGTATGTGTCGTGTGTGTTTAATCCCCACTGCTGTAGCTCAGGCCCCAGGTGGGTTTGGGGTTTCAACGGGTGGAACACGGCCCCTGTCACGGATGATCTGTGTGTCTAGGTAACAGCCCCAGCACAGGGTTCCCCAACTGGTGGGGAACACATACACATGTCACTGTGATTTTATTTGGCCCCCCAAAAAGTGTTATTTTATTTATTATAATTTTTTATTGTTGGACATAAAATAATAAAAACACCAGCAAATCAGCTCCAAGTGATTTTAATTTAGAAAATCTGTTCCAAAGTATTCCCATGAATAATAGAGATATATGTGATCGTATACAAATGTAAGCAAGGTTTGAAATTATTATGTTTTAGTCAAATATTATATCTGTTTGGGCTTCTTGCTGTCAATTTGCAGTCTAACATTATTTGTAATTATGTTCCGGCACCCTGACCATCGACTCAAGGACAAAATCGGCCTGCGGCTGAATCTAGTTGATGATCCCTGCCCTAGGGCAACCGTCTGTCCTTGTGTGTTTACACTCTGGGCCTCACTGGAGGACAAAGAAACACTCATAGCACCCTTTCTCTGATAGACCAGCCACAGGGGGGCAAAGCTTCGATGCCAACCTAACTAACGCATAGGAAAACAAACATTAACCTAACCAGCTGGCAGTTGTTTTTTTAAGCTACTAAACAGCCACTGTCAGAATCTAGCAAGTGTTGTTTGACGTTGAGTAAGACTAATATTAAGGGAGAGCAGGCATCTTTTATTAATGACAATAGGAGCAGTGTACAAAAGTCTCCATGAACAAATAACAACTTAGTACTTGTGTGATTTCTGTGGGTTGGAAGCACTTCAAAAGAAGATTGGCTTCATCGACAAGAGGGATATTTTGTGCAACAGTGACATCTAGTGGCCATGAGGCTGCACTGTGAAATGTCCAGAAAAGAACCATCATGTTGCCTCCTCCCTCATTGTATATGTAAATATCTTAAATTATAGCCATGGTATAAAAGAGATAATCAACTCGGGGCTCTATGCGTTCTCTGGAAAATAATGCCACTGCTTGGAAGGTTAGGTCCACTCCGCTAGTGCTATAATTTAACACAGTATGAAAAAATTTATGCACTCACTAACTGTAAGTTGTTCTGGATAAGAGCGTCTGCTAAATGACTAAAATGTCAATGTAATTTGCAGCTAGAAATGTGTTTCATTTGCAGGTAGAAATGTGTTCAACATCCACTGAAGTACTAGCAAGTTTACTAGATAGCTACAGTAGTTGCCTTGGTAACCAAACGAACAGACTTACTAGTTTAGCTAACCAAACCATCAGTCCTAGCTTGCTATTAGGAAAATTGAATTCAGCAATGCCAGTAATGTTTTCAATGTGACTTTTGCTTTCAAATGCAGCTCAAACATAGAACATGTAAGAATGACCTGTAGCCATTGAATTGTACTGCTGATATACTGTGTGTTATAGGGAAATAATGCACACTCTAGAATGCTCTTCAAGCCAATCAGAAACGAGTATTCAACAATGCCATGATATAATTAAGCAATAAGGCACGAGGGGATGTGGTATATGGCCAATATACCATGGATAAGGGCTGTTCTTACGCACAACACAACACGGAGTATATTGGCCATATACCACAAACCCCTGAGGTGCCTTATTGCTATTATAAACTGGTTACCAACATAATTAGAGCAGTATAAATAAATGTTTTGTCATACCCGTGGTATACGGTCTGATATACCACGGCTGTCAGCCAATCAGCTTTCAGGGCTTGAACCAATCAGTTTCTAATTAAGTGATAATGCCAGAGAAGCCGGTGTTTGGAGGATATATTGGCACAGGTGTTGTTAGGCCCAAGACGAAGTCGAGGGCCGGCAAACCGTGCCAATATATCCTCCAAACACCGGCTTCAAGGGCATTATCACTTTTATACAATGGGTTACCAACATATTCAAATAATGATTGACATATTTTCATTAAAAACGTTATTTCGATGAATTTATTCACAAGCTATAGTCCCGACACAAATCTAGGGTTACTACCCAAGCCGGCTGGTCGTTCGTTCTATTGGTTCGGTTGCCAGAGACGCGACCCAGTCGTTCAGTATTTTGTTCTGTATCTATGGACGCGACCCAGTCGTTCGTTCTAAATGTTCCATTGCCATACTGGCTGGCAATGTTCTTATCCCTTGCTTGCTAGCTAGCCAACTACGGCTAACTTACAGTCACATCTAACAGTGCAGCCAGAATAACAACAGTAGCACCATTTGCATTTGTTTAAGCTGTTTTATAGTGGCATTCATTTGGATATATCCATAACAATGAGCTAATGAGGCACGATTTCACCTGGCATTGAAAATGTGCTCTCTCGTCAGGACACTGTTGTTCAGAGGAACTAGCCAACAACACAGCTAACACAATCACTTCAAACTGAAGCTGGAAAGACTGCAAACTAGCTGCATTTTGTTTTGTTTTACCTTTTTTCAATTGACATTTCTTTGTATATATCCATACAAATTATGCCAGCTGATTCATGATTTCGACTGGCTGAGAAACGCTGCCTGCCTGTCTGTCTTGTCCCAACTCCCGACACCTTCATTACTATTGGACAGCTGGAGACCGAATTTGAATATTAAAACAATGTTGCAAATGTCGGAGAGACAGACGGCAAGGTTTATACAAATCTCTGCTGTTAAAAACAAAATGTTAGTCTAAAAGAAATGTGAGATAATGTCTAGATGCTTTTTATAGTGGAGATCAAGTTTATAAATTGCCTGGCTGGGCTGATGAGACAGTGGATTGCGCAGTCAGATGGAACAGAGTAAATAGGCATTTTAACGTCATAGATTTAGCCGGTGGTAACTTGTGGAATAGACACCGGCTGGAATGCGGTTTTAACCAATCAGCATTCAGGATTAGACCCACCCGTTGTATAATTAAGTGATAATGCCTGAGAAGCTGGTGTTCGTCTCGGGCCGGCAAACCGTGCCAATATATCCCCCAAACACCGGCTTTGTGGGCATTATCACTTTAATACGGGTTGCCAACATATTCAAATAATGATTGACATATATTCTTTAAAAAAGTTATTTACATGAATTTATTCATACTATTTCATCCTTCCATGATATATAGTCCCGACAGAAATCTAGGGTTGCTACCCAAGCCGGCTGGTTGTTCGTTCTATCGGTTCGTTTGCCAGAGGAGCGACCCAGTCGTTAAGTATTTTTGTTCTAAATCTATGGATTTAGTCACGTCAAACAGTACAGACAGAATAACAGCAAAGTAGCTGCATTAGCGTTTGTTTAAGCTGTTTTCTAGTGATTTTTTTGGGATACATCCATAACAATGAGCTAATGATGTGCGATTTAGCCTGGCATAGAACATTTGCTCTCTCGCCAGGCCACTGTTCAGAAGAGACAGCTAACAATCACTTCAAACTGAAGCTGGAATGACAGCAAACTAGCTGCATTTCTTGTTTTTCTATTGACATTTATTTGTATATATTCATAGAAATTATGCTGATTCGTGATTTCGACTGGCTGAGAAAAACTGCCAGCCTGTCTGTCCCGTCCCGACTCCCGACACGTTCATTACCATAGGACAGCTGGAGATCGAATTTCAATATTGAAACAATGTTGCAAATGTCGGAGAGACAGATCTAGAATATAAATTGCCTGGCTGAGCTGATGAGACAGTGGATTGCGCAGTCAGATGGAACAGAGAAATAGGCATTTCAACATCATAGATTTAGCCGGTGGTAACTTGTGGAATAGACACCGGCTGGAATGCGGTTTTAACTAATCAGCATCCAGAATTAGACCCACCCGTTGCATAATGTAGTATATAGATCAGGGGTATTCAACTCTTACCCTAACGGGGTCCGGAACCTGATGGTTTTGTGTTCTACCTGATAATGAATTGCACCCACCTGGTGTCCCAGGTCTAAATCAGTCCCAGATTATAGGGAACAAAGCCAAAATGCATTGGAACTGTCTTCGAGGTCCAGAGTTGAGTTTGAGGGGAAAGATTATACCAATTATATACAGTGCCTTCGGAAAGTAATCAGACCTCTTGACTTTTTCCACATTTTGTTACGTTACAGCCTTATTCTAAAATGGATTAAATTAATGTTTTTCCTCATCAATCTACACACAATACCCCATAATGACAAAGTGAAAACAGGTTTTTAGAAATGTTTGTAAATGTATTAAACATAAAAAACAGAAATACCTTACTTACATAAGTATAAAGACCCTTTGCTGTAAGACTCGAAATTGAGATCAGGTGCATCCTGTTTCCATTGATCATCCTTGAGATGTTTCTACAACTTGACTGGAGTCCCCCTGTGGTAAATTAAATTGATTGGACATGATTTGGAAAAGTACACACCTGTCTATATAAGGTCCCACAGTTGACAGTGCATGTCAGAGCAAGAACCAAGCCATGACGTTGAAGGAATTGTCCGTAGAGCTCCTAGACAGGATTGTGTCGAGGCACAGATCTGGGGAAGGGTACAAACATTTTTTTGCAGCATTGGAAGTCCCCAAGAACACAGTGGGCTCCATCATTCTTAAATGGAAGAAGTTTGGGATCACCAACTCTTCCTAGAGCTGGCCTCCCAGCCAAACTGAGCAATCGGGGGAGAAGGGCCTTGGTCAGGGAGGTGACCAAGAACCCGATGGTCACTCTGATAGAGCTCCAGAGTTCCTCTGTGGAGATGGGAGAACCTTCCAGAAGGACAACCATCTCTGCAGCACTCCACCAATCAAGCCTTTATGGTAGAGTGGCCAGACGGAAGCCACGCCTCAGTAAAAGGCACATGACAGCCTGCTTGGAGTTTGCCAAAAGGCACCTAAAGACTCTCAGACCATGAGAAACAAGATTCTCTGGTCTGATGAAACCAAGATTGAACTCTTTGGTCTGAATGCCAAGCGTCACGTCTGGAGGAAACCTGGCAACATCCCTACGGTGAAGCATGGTTGTGGCAGCATCATGCTGTGGGGATGTTTTTCAGCGGCAGGGACTGGGAGCCTAATCAGGATCGAGGGAAAGATGAACGGAGCAAAGTACAGAGAGATCCTTGATGAAAATCTGCTCCAGAGCGCTCAGACTGGGGCGAAGGTTCACCTTCCAACAGGACAATGACCCTAAGCACACAGCCAACAATGCAGGAGTGGCTTCGGGACAAGTGACTGAATGTCCTTGAGGGGCCCAGCCAGGGCCCGTACTTGAACCCGATCTAACATCTCTGGGGAAACCTGAAAATAGCTGTGCAGCGACGCACCCCATCCAACCTGACAGAACTTGACAGGATCTGCAGAGAAGAATGGGAGAAGCTCCCCAAATATAGATGTGCCAAGCTTGTAGCGTCATACCCAAGAAGACTTGAGGTTGTAATCGCTGCCAAAGGTGCTTCAACAAAGTACTGAGGAAAGGGTCTGAATACTTATGTAAATGTGATATTTCCATGTTTTATTTTTAATACATTTGCAAAACATTCTAAAAACCTGTTTTTGGTGTGTCATCATGGGGTATTGTGTATAGATTGATAAGGGGAAAAAACAACAATCCATTTTAGAATAAGGCTTTAACGTAACAAAATGTGGAAAAAGTCAAGGGGTCTGAATACTTTCCAAATGCACTGTATGCCAGTGCATTTATTTTTGGAGCTCTCAGACAAACTACTGACATTGAGTGGACACTGTACAGTTGCCCCTAGTTGCATTTCCCCCATTAATGGTTAAGGTTAGGATTAGGGAGATGAAGCTGATCCTAGATCTGTACCTAGGGGAAACTTCACCCTGGACTGTACAGTGTGGTCCGCCTAACAGCTTCAGTTACCTGGTAGGACACTGTCTTTTTCCCACCAGCCCCCTCTTCAGAAAGGACCAGAGGTCCCGATATGACCCACACGTCATCAAAGCGCTTGGCCAGGTCCCTGCAGTACATCTCCAGTCTGGAATACAAAATAGTCTGTTATACTGGGGCAACACACGGTTGACAGACTTGAAAATGATCATTCCATTCATCATAAGTAAAGTTAGGCTTCAAGGTACAGTAGCTTAGATTAAGAGAGAATTTCATTTCAGTATAGGTCATTCCATTTATATACAGTACTAGGACCAATTGGTATCACCTAACTTGTGGAAAAAATGCAATGAATATCACAGGGAGTTCCCATATACCTGTTCCAGTAGCCAGCGTTGTTTTCATAGTTCTGGGGCACAATGTTGGACAGGTAGAAGGTCTCAGCCATTGACTGCTGTTGATAGGGACAGAAAGGAGAGAATTCTGTGAGACCAATTCACCTCACATACCATCAAAACAAGAAAGGGTCTGAACAAACCACTGGTGTAAATCACATCAACTAATGACAAGACAATACACCAAGCTCAACCTACGATACTAAACATCACCAATGTGTTGGATAGGTGTGATGTGCTGGGTACCTCTGAGGACTTGTTGTCTCCTGCGGGGGCCATATGGCCCCTGGACCAGCCACTGCCCAGGTAGTCTGCATTGTGTGCAGTGAAGGGTTCTGGGATACTGGGGTCTGGCTTGAATTTACAGTGCTTTCTGTCAGCTTTCCCTGCGGCAGCAAGAAGAAGTGAATTTATCTACATCTAGAATGTCTGTATAATAGCTGTCTCTCATTATTATGACTATCCCAGTGAGCACAATACGTTCTTGCTCATAGGGATATTATGACTACATTATTAGATTATCATTACACCATTATTACAACATTATTACCCAATAGTTTCTCATGTGACAGGTGCTCTGCGACCCATCTTGGTGTTTTCCTGGCTTGGTCGTAGGACAATGTGTGGTTGGCATAGTATCGTATCTCAGCTCCTGTCAAGGGGAAGCCATACCGCCCTATGTCCTGCTGTGCCTGAGGAACTGTAACAAAGCACTGATGTTATTTACATAGGCAGAACTCACAAATAATGCAAAATTCTACCAATCTATTTGACAGTGAAAATACAGCCACATTTGGCTTTCTTCTGAAGTGGCTAAGTTTAATATGAATCAGCAATGATAATTGTTCATTAAGTAATCATCACGTATCATCTGTGTATACTCTCCAATTTCACTACAGGTAACAGTTAACTTAACTTAGCTAGCTAGCTAAATACTGTTACTAGCTTAAAAGCAAACCTTTCTCAGGCTCTCTCTGGTCCTCTGTGTCCTCATCCTTGTAAAGTTTCATCACTGCAACACATGATCCAGTGGTGACGGCAGCACCACACACAAAACCACCAACAAATCTAAATAATTTAACATTTGCTGCCATCTTTATAATATTCAACAGATAAAATACTTTCAAATAATGTATCTTCTTGTTGCTTGGTGTTTTTAGCTAGAAGTTACCGCCAGCGTTTCGTGGGCAACACTAAAAAAGTACTTCCGGGTCACGGAATTTCGAAAAACTTTCCAAATAAAAGTCCCCCACGTTATAGTAGAAACGTTTCATTTATCTGTATTTATTCATGATATGTGAAAAATAATTGTCTAAACATTAACAATGATCCACTTTTGTTAATATTTAAGTAACATTTGCACTTTTATTTTTTTGTTCTTTATTTGTATTTTATTTTATTTAACCTTAATTTAACTAGGCAAGTCAGTTAAGAACAAATTCTTATTTACAATGACGGCCTACCGCGGCCAAACCCGGACGACGCTGGGCCAATTGTGAGCCATCCTATGGGACTCCCAATTACGGCCGTATATATGAAATACAGTACATATTGGCTTATAGAGAGAAAACTATTCTAGGTGCTGCACTAAAAGTGGGGTTGGGATTACTCACTAGGGTCTGTAGAATATACACTACCAGTCAAAAGTTTGGACACACCTACTCATTAATGGGTTTTTATTTATTTTTTACATTGTAGAATAATAGTGAAGACATCAAAACTATGAAAGAACACATATGGAATCATGTAGTAACTAAAAAAGTGTTAAACAAATCAAAATATATTTTATATTTGAGATTCTTCAAATAGCCACCCTTTGCCTTGATGACAGCTTTGCACACTATTGGCAGTACATCATTACTTTAAGACATGAAGGTCAGTCAATCCGGAACATTTCAAGAACTTTGAAAGTTTCTTCAAGTGCAGTCGCAAAAACCATCAAGCGCTATGATGAAACTGGCACTCATGAGGACCGCCACAGGAATGGAAGACCCAGAGTTACCTCTGCTGCAGAGGATACGTTCAATAGAGTTACCAGCCTCAGAAATTGCAGCCCAAATAAATGTTTCACTGAGTTCAACAGACACATCTCAATATCAACTGTTCAGAGGAGACTGTGTGAATCAGGCCTTCATAGTCGAATTACAGCAAAGAAACCACTACTAAAGAACACCAATAAGAATATACGCTATGTGAATCAATTTTTGCAACTTATCACATGGCATGCATCGCCAATGCAGCCATTAACCTAGATAGAGTATGATGGCATTACTGGCCTTATGGACATCTGTCATCTGAAGCAGAGAATAGCGAAACTCACATTGTTTACATGTTGAGCTACAGTGCCTTCAGAAAGTATTTAGACCCCTTGACTTTTTCCACATTTTGTTACGTTACAGCCTTATTCTAAAATGTATAAAACATTTTTTTTCCCTCATCAATCTACACACACAATGCCCCATAATGACAAAGCAAAAACAGGTTTTTAGACATTTTTGCTAAGTTATTCACAATAAAAAATGGAAATATCACATTTACGTAAGTATTCAGACCCTTTACTCAGTATGTTGTTAAAGCACCTTTGGCAGCGATTACAGCCTCGAGTCTTCTTGGGTATGACGCTACAAGCTTGGCACACCTGTATTTGGGGTGTTTCACCCATTCTTCTCTGTAGATCCTCTCAAGCTCTGTCAGGTTGGATGGGGAGCGTTGCTGCACAGCTATTTTCAGGTCTCCAAAGATGTTCGATCGGGTTCAAGTCCGGGCTCTGGCTGGGCCACTCAAAGACATTCAGAGACGTTGTCTTGGCTGTGTGCTTAGGGTTGTTGTCCTGTTGGAAGGTGAACCTTCACCCCAGTCTGAGGTCCTGAGCAGGTTTTCATCAAGGATCTCTCTGTACTTTGCTCCATTCATCTTTGCCTCGATCCTGACTAGTCTCCTAGTCCCTGCCGCTGACAAACATCCCCACAGCATGATGCTGCCACCATGCTTTACTGTAGATATGATGCCAGGTTTCCTCCAGACGTGACACTTGGCATTTAGGCCAAAGAGTTCAATGTTGGTTTCATCAGACCAGAGAATCTTGTTGCTCATGGTCTGAGAGTCCTTTAGGTGCCTTTTGGCAAACTCCAAGCGGGCTGTCATGTGCCTTTTACTGAGGAGTGGCTTCCGTCTGGCCACTCTACCATAAAGGCCTGATTGGTGGAGTGCTGCAGAGATGGTTGTCCTTCTGGAAGGTTCTCCCATCTCCACAGAGGAACTCTAGAGCTCTGTCAGAGTGACCATCAGGTTCTTGGTCACCTCTCTGACCAAGGCCCTTCTCCCCCGATTGCTCAGTTTGGCCCGGCGGCCAGGTCTAGGAAGAGTCTTGGTGGATTCAAACTTCTTCCATTTAAGAATGATGGAGGCCACTGTGTTCTTGGGGAACTTCAATGCTGCAGAAATTTTTTGGTACCCTTCCCCAGATCTGTGCCTCGACACAATCCTATCTCGGCGCTCTACGGACAATTCCTTCGACCTCATGGCTTGGTTTTTGCTCTGACATGCCTTTCCAAATCATGTCCAATCAATGTAATTTACCACAGGGGGACTCCAATCAAGTTGTAGAAACATCTCAAGGATGATCAATGGAAACAGGATGCACCAGAGCTCAATTTCGAATCTCATAGGAAAGGGTCTGAAAACTTATAATTATAGTTAAATAACGTATTTCTGTTTTTTGTAGAAAATTCTAAAAATCTGTTTTCGCTTTGTCATTATGGGGTATTGTGTGAATACTTTCCGAAGGCACTGTATATAGATTCTACAGGGTGTACAGAGTACTCCCAACCACATTTTTACTTCTGCACAGATAAAAAAAAAAAAAAAGATTATATATAAGCCAATATGAAATGTATAGGCCTATAGTGTATTTGTCTGGCTGACACAAGCCCTCAAGGTAGTCACAGCTCACTGGGTAGCACGTCAGCCAAACTAACTGTGTATTGCATTGGGACCAATAGATTGGGTGGAGTAGAAGGTGTTGCTGGGAACTTAGACCAGAGTCCCATATGAAATAACACAATACAGTATACAGCTTATAAAGACCCTACTGAGTATTCCCAACTCCACTTTTACATCGGCACATAGAATACATTTTTCTCTCTAAGCCAATGAAATTGATAGTAGAAAGATCTGCTGGGTATTTAGACCACAGTCCCCGAAGAAATAACACCATATATAATTCTAGTGCTAGATCAGTAGGGTCGGTAGAATATTATGTTCTTTACATCCATTTAATAATTTCTCAATGTATAATATATCTTATATAAAAGTACAAATCTGTTTAGTTTAGAATTTTCCCGATTTAGTTCTCATTTTGTAACATTTTAATATTATGCACTATCAAAATACGCAAAAGGTATTGATTTCGTATCAAACACATAGCGTTTTACCACAGACTTTTATTTTGAAGGCAAAATAGGAAAACCTAAAGTCTTTATGCTGATGCCGTGACGCTAATCAAGTTGCCGGTTGGTTTCGTTAACCAGGCAGCTTCCTTTGAAACGATTGAACTTGAAACAGGTGTGGTCAACAACAACAAAGCAAGCTTGGTGAAGGAAGTAATAGAAATATAAACATTGCCCTCTTGTGGCAGGGGTCTAAAAATATTGAGCGGCAGCCAAGGAATTTACTGGTCTTGCATTTCTGGATAAAAATGTATTTGAATTTCTATCAACACGTTTTGCATTTTGTATTTCATTGGAACTACAATCAATCTCTAAAGAATGCCCTTTCAACACTAATCAATAGATTTAGCCTATCACAGAACCAAACCGCAGGGTGTTTGTATGGAGGGCCTAAATTCAGAGTGAAAATACAAATACAAAATAAGGACATTCTTAATTGATTTGCAAAAATTATATATAGCTTTTCATCAGTGTATCATGATATATGCCACAATCAAATTTTATATTTATGCGGTACCAATTGAGCATGGGGACAAGGTTAGCACAAAGCACTTGAATAGGCAACACTACGTCAAGCAAGAACAAATCGAAAATAGTCAAATAAATCACTAAATTGCTGCTGTGCTGTAAATTCCTTTAGGACATACCATAGAAGAGCCTTGGAGAGTTCACATATTTCATTTTCATATACGCAAGATTACTGCACATTCTGGCTTAAGTATCAGTCGTTGAGGCTTTTAGCCCACTCCTGTGCATGGTAGTTCACTGCAGGTAGAGCATTTTACGGTTGTAGCAACGTAGCATTCCAGAGAAGCAACATCGTCAGCTCCCTTCAAGGCCACTGTGGCTACACAGAATTCACACAACATGATCAAAAACTTGTGATTGATAGAATCTCTTCTATTATGGTGTGATGATTAATATCCTAGCACATTATAAAACTTAATTCTGATTATCTGTCATTCGAAATGGTCAACACACAAAGTAGGCACATTCTGCAATCAAATGCTTTAACAGTATTTTATTGTTTACTTTCATATACAAAAAGATACAATTGAAATAATCCTTTCTAGTATTTTTTCTCTAACAGTCAGGGTGTAGTTGTTTCACACTGGGCAAATACTACATTCATACTGGTTTATTCTGGCACCAAGTGCAGAGTAGAAGCAGCCACACCCCAACAACTAGGCAAATCTACTTGGATACTGAGTTCTAAAATTACCACAGTAAAAAGGAACAATGATCCACTGCAAATTAAAGAACTATGTTACAATGATCGTTGAAAAAGTCCTCATGTCATTACGGCAATACAATGGTTGTTGGATTTTTCCAGCGCATTTCATATACATAAAACTTTTAAACATATTCTTCAATCCAAAAGAGGGGTTACAGCAACAACCTCAACTCTGTATACATTTTATCTTATACAGATTTATTTGAGTATATTTGTTAAATTCAGTAGTACAAGCCATCTCTGTTCTACAATTTAGCTACAATAGTGAAACATAACCTACAACATTTACATTTCACGTATCCTGGTAGAGAAACATCACTTTTAAATAAGACCCCTTGACAAAACAAGAAACCCCCCTTTACCCATTTGCCGAATCCTGCACCCTTGTTTTGGTGGGTCTTGGAAGAAAGAC